TTTGGAAACAACCACAATTGGGAGAACAAAGAAAAACAGACTAAGAAGGATCAGAATGGAAAAAGGAACAATGAAATCCAAGGGAGAAAAATTTCAAAAAGGGAACAGGCAATAATGTACGATGTGACAAAAATGTCAAATTGGATGAAAATTGAGAAAAGGCCACTGCATTCTTTAACGAAGTTATTAGTTACTTGGCAACAGACTGTTCTTTTTAATAGTACCTACTGTTCTAAAATTCTCTAAAATGTTGCCCCTGGAGTCCTTGCAATGGCAACACCTCAGACATATAATCCACATTTAATTAGGTTCTCTTATTATTTCAGTAACTAAATTACTTTGAACAGTGTCCAAGAAGAACTGACTTTATACGAATTTCACATCTCTAGTGACTCATATTAGAACAGAGTGCCAGTTTGCTCACATTCTCATCTGACATATTTTATCAAAGTTCTTAGAGCCTAGTCATATTTTTTTTACATTTTATAGATTTCATTTCTTTCCTCTGAATTCATATGTACATAATCCTAAGAACTTCAAACTTTCCAGCAGTTGGCTAATTACCACATAAAGCTTTTCAAAATAACATTACTAGGTATATTATGTAGTATAACAAAACATACAAACATGGAGATTTGAAAATGTAAATGTCTATTTTTTAAATTCAATGGGTGATGATTTTTAGGCAATTTTGACATATTTATTCTCAATTCTTTACCTCCCATTCTAAGAAAATAAGTAGCATTACAGCTATCAGCATAATGAAAACCACATTATAATACAGAGAATCACACAGCAGGATTTGTCTAAATGTAGAAATTTTCAGCAACAGCCATCTGGCAAGTAGCAACACTGGAAGTGTATGGGGGATGTGCTTTTTACATCATCAGTGTATGAGACAATCTACAATCTTTTAAAAACATGGCTTTTATTAGTCAAAAGAAAACAGTTATGCCATTTACAGACCGAGTTCTGAATTTTTTCTTAATTCAAAGCTACCAAAGTCAATCTGATAGGAAGAAAACTATGAAAATGCACTTCACTTAAATTTAACAAGCATGATATTAAAATGTTTGAATTTCCCACCTTACCAAAGATATGTGCACACTCAAGTATAAAATTACTATATAATACACAAATATTTAACTGGCATATGTACACAGATTTAAATCTAAAAACAGATAAATATTAGAAACTGTATTTGGCACTTGAGACTACTGTCCTTTATACTTTATTACTGTAATGGAAACAATTCTGCCAGCTTCTTCTCCCCTCTCCTCAAGCCCCCCCCACTTCCTTTTGTCCCCATCCATTTAATCTTTTCCTTCCTTCTCCTCTAAGAAAGTCTTAAGCCTACCAGTGACACTTAAACCTAATGAAGCTTCTGATCCCTATTAATGAGGATAAAAATAGATCTTACATAACCTTGAGGATGCAATGAATTTCAAAACACATCTTATATGCTAATTTAACAATTCTATTAGTAGCAAATTCTTAGAAAGCTTTTCACTTATGCTTTCTTCTCTCCTTTGTTTATGTGCAACCAGTTTAAGCAGGCTCCAGCTTTCTGTGTACCTGGTTCATATGACATCTGAACTTGAGCAGAAGTAAACCAGAAATTCAGTTACAGACTATGGCAAGCCAGCTCTGCTTATAAATCACAAGCACTTAAGAGGTCTATAGTGAGGAAATCCTCACCTGGGTATAATGAATTCTTTGAGAAGGCCCCTTACCCATCTAGTTCAAAGCTTGTCCTCAGGTCCCCAAAATCCATCTCAAATGGCACTCCTGTGTGGAGTCTCTCCCACTCTCCCACTCTCCCAGTCAACCCTGATCTTCACCACTTCAGAACATTTGGTATTACCTTATCTGTATCCCATCTTGTTTTGTTCTTTAAATTTATTATGTATGAGATTTGCTTTAAGGTGGATTTAAACTACTTAAAAGTGGGCCCATGTCTTAAGGTTCTATATCCTCCATGATACCTAGCACAAGCAAACACAAATTTAATATGGTCAGCTGTGGAAAACATGAGTTAGACATCAGAAGAATGAAGTGCATCTGGCTCTGGAGAGAGATTATCTCCTTCACCTAAATTGCTTTGCTTTCTACACCCTGCTCAGAGTATCTCTTATTTTTCTCCTTCCAACACTTGCCAATTGTTAGCTCCTTGTGCGATCTAAAAATAAAAGCCACTGTCCACATTGCAGGAACCAAGGAAAGTCAAAATATTGTCCATTTTTGCTTCAACTGAAGGCAAAAAGAGGGAAGCTACAAACATCTTTCCCTAAAGGAATGCTCACATATTTAATGTATAAGACAGGACTCAGCAGGAAGAGTAGCTTAAGGGTATCTTCCAATGCTAAAAAAACAAAAGCATTCTTCCAATAGAGGCCCAAATCATTACTGTAGATTTGCACTTGGCTTTTAGCTCCTTTGATTTAGACAAGCAACTATGCTTGACTGCTTTATTTTCCTTCTTCTTAAGCTACCACATGATGATTTTAGTTGCTGCATCTATTTTCCTGGAACGAGATTATTTTTCCCCCTCTAATATTTTATCTACCCCTTTATTCTTTGAAATGGAGAAAAGGAAGTGAGTTAATGTGATAGGTATAAGGAGCTATCTTACCCCCAAAAGGGGTGTTGCAGCCTTTGTCTTCCATTTAGCTCCTTGTTCAGTAGCAGGGGTGGGATTTCCATTGCTACAAAATTATTCCCCTTGCCTCTAAAATCAGCTCACTAGTAAAAGCTAACAGAGACCCATATATGAACTACCATTTTTCTTGAAAGCTCAGAATTATGCTGAAACTGCCACCTGCTCCAGGGTTATGACAGGCAGCTCTGGATGACAGGACATACTGCTCTTACACAAAATAGTAAAATATACAAAACATAATAAACCAAAATATATGATGGTCAATATGTGTACTTATATTGTTTAAATTTCTCAAATAGTTTGTATTATGGAGAAAAAGTATATTCTTATCAGGTGATAATTCTTTGGACTTCATTTTAGAGAAAAAATCCAATGGGCCTGAACATCTCCACAAAACCCCTTGGCAGAGGCATAACACAAGGGCCATAAAATCAAATTATACCAAGCTTATTATCCTAGAAATTCTTTAAATTGCATGGCATAATCCTAGCCACCAATTTGTAGCAAATATTTCATTTTTATTCATGGGGTTGCTGAATATGGAACCATGCTTTGAAGGGAAGAAGGAAGGATAAAAGAAATTTTACTGCTTCCTATCATCTGGCCGGAAGAGAGACAGATCAAAAAACAAAGATTACCCACTCACATAGGAAACTAAATGAAGTATGAGAAAAGAATTGACTGTCATAAGCAAGCTGGAATAGCTGAAATGATCTGACCCGACGGTGGATTTCAAATGGTCTGTTAAAGTGGTATAAGCAAAGATCTGATGATCTTTATGGAAAGTAAGGTAAATATGTGATCTAAATCTTTAGTGAAATCAAAACCTTTTTCTGACAGTTCATATACTATTTTCCCAATAACTGGAACAAAAATGTTTAATGTTCAACAGGCACATTTTCTTTGGCAGACAATTTAAAGAGATATTTACTCACAGGGTTGTAGTAGTGTAAATCCTGCACTGTACAACACAGAGTGTTGAGGACTTCCTTAATATTTGTGCTCCAAGCCCTTCATTCTAGTTCTGGCCTTGCTCTATACCTCTACATTCATTTTGTCCCAATAAATGTGGAGCTATTAAAGAGAAAAATACATCATGCAGGGCATTTGGCTTAGCCATAAAGAAGACTTTGTCCCACATCAGAGTCCCTGAGTTTGATACTCAGCTCCAGCACCTGACTCCAGCTTCCTGCTAATGTAGATACTGGGAGGAAATGGTGATGGCTTAAGTAATTGTGTTCTTATCACATATGTGGGAGACCTGAATTAAGTATACAGCTTCCAGCTTTGGCCAGGCTCAGGACCAACCCTGGCACCTGCAAGCATTTGGGCATTTGGGGAGTGCAACAGCTAATAATCTAACTTTGCTCTCTCTCTCTCTTTCTCACTCTCTCTCCCTCTCCCCCCCCCCTTTCTTTGCTCTCGCTCTTGCTCTCACTCTCTAAATTAAGTACATAACTTTTAATTGTTAAAAAAAAAAACCTGGGGGCCAGCGCTGTGGTGCAGTGGGTTAAACCACTGTCTACAGCACTAGCATCTCCTATGGGCATTGGTTCAAGTCCCAGCTTCTCCACCTCTGATACAGCTCCCTACTAATTTGCCTGGGAAAGCAGCAGAAGATGGCCCAAGTGTTTAAGACTCCTGTACCCATGTGGGAGACCCAGATGAAGCTCCTGGCCTGGCCCAGCCCCAGCTAATGGGGTCATTTTAGGGGGGTGAACCAGCAGACAGAAGATCTCTCTCTCTAACTCTGTTTTCCAAATAAATAGTTGGGGGTAGAGAGGAGGAGGGAGGGAGGGAGAGAGGGAAAATCATTATATTCTTACAATTGTATCTACAAATCACATTGAATCTGTTAAAAAACTAATTAAAAATTAAAATTTTTAAAATTAATAAAAAGCAAACATGGAAGCATCATACTAGTGTCCGCTGAGATTTTATATAAGATTATAAGAAGAAAATTGGTACAAACTGGCTTGAAGATAAATGAAGGATTTAAGATCCAGTGGTAGATGACCACTAAAAACCAATGGAAGGTGAATCAGTGGAGGCTAACACTTCCAAGAATCCTGATTTGCACTCAATAGCCACTCCCATTCCACACATTCTCAGCTTGCTGATTTATTTTCCCATCTAATTGGAGTTTTATTTTATGAAGAAATGTCTGAACACTATACAAAAGGACATCTTGAATCTGGAAAAGTATAATAACTTCCTTTTTAAAAAATATACATTAACCCAAACACAATCCTTGGGTTTCACGAAGGATATGAACAAATGTGCCAACACAAATATCCACATATACTCAGCAATCAGCAAATAAAAGTTTATGTTTGCCTACCTCCTCCGGCAAAGAGAGCAGCAATAAATGGGCAGAAATCCCAGGGTGATCATGGTGATCACACCAACCCCAAACATCCGCAGCATCTGTGTAGGCTCTGTTGGTTTAATTATATCCTGTTACTTTTATGAGTTAAGCAAGAAAAGCAAGTCTGAGCTGTTCTACACTTTATAAAAAAAAAAAAAAAACTACCAGTCAATAATGTAAAATGAGGATGCATTCCTATATGACAAGTAAATATCCCTGCTATTCTATAAGTACCAGGAGTTTATGAAATGTTCCTGAAATACAAACAAGGGCTACATTTTGAATATATGCTCCTCCCTCAATAGAAGTGTTAACAAAATGATGCTACTGTCTTTGTTAACAGATTATTACAGGAGCCTGCATTGTGGCACAGTGGGTTAAGCTGCCACCTGCAATGTTAGCACTTCATATGAGCTATGGTTTGGGTCCTGGCTGCTCCACTTCTAATTCAGCTTCCTGCTAACACACCTAGGAAAGCAGCAGAAGATAGCCCAAGTGCCTGGGCTCCTGCAACACAGGTCGGAGACCCAGATAGAGTTCCAGGCTTCTGGCTTCAGTCTAGTACAGCCCAGGCTGTTGAAGTCACTTGGGGGGTGAACCAGCAGATGGAAAATCTGTCTATCTGTCTCTCTTTCTCTCTCTCCCTCTTTTTCTGTAACTCTGCCTTTCAAATAAATAAATAAATATTTTTTAAAAAACCCATATTATTACAATACATAGTATATATTTCTTCCTAAGGTCGTAAGTGTGCTTTTTCCTCCACTACGTTATACATTCTAAAGTACTCAAGAAACAAATTAATCTATGAAAAGTTAACTCGGTAAATAAATGGCTTAAGTGGGGGCTGGTGCTATGTCATAGCGGGTAAAGCCGCCGCCTGCAGTGTCGGCATCCCATGTGGGCACCGGTTCAAGTCCCAGCTGCTCCACTTCTGATCCAGCTCTCTGCTATGGCCTGGGAAAGCAGTAGAAGATGGCCCAAGTCCTTGGGCCCCTGCACCCACGTGGGAGACCCAGAAGAAGCTCCTGCCTCCTGGCTTCAGATCCGCATAGCTCCAGCCGTTGTGTCCAATTGGGGAGTGAACCAGTGGATGGAAGACCTCTCTCTCTCTCTCTCTCTGCCTCTCCTTCTCTCTCTGTGTAACTCTTTCAAGTAAAATAAATAAATCTTAAAAAAAAAAAGAAATGGCTTCAGTGAATTTTTCCCTGTCTTTGAAGTTCAGTCTGTAAGTGTATTGTTACCACAAAAGAAAATACTTGGGTTTGCATTACTTGAATACTTGAAAACTAACATTGACAAGATACTTATGTAATGAATCAGGTTTCTATTTCTGGATAAAATTAGAAATGAAATAAAGATTTGAGCTACTTAAAGGATGAAAATAATGACAGTGCTTATAAGCACTGTGAACCCTTTTGTGTTTGAGGCATCCAAAATTCCAGTGTTCACTAGATTTTTCTCTTAAAATTCTGTTCTTCTTTTCTGTGCTTCATGCACTTAGTGTCATTTTTTGGTTAATATTTTACCCACTAATGGTATTTGAGTCATTTCATCATTTCAATAAGGTGTCTATAAAATTTTAAAAAATTACATAGTGTATTTGAACGAGTTAGTGAAGAGTAAGAAAAAAAAACTAGCTTATTGAGACTGTAGATGTTCCATTAGTTAAATTTCAAAATTTTTAATAAAGGAACTTTCAGAGATAGGTTGAGACCCCACGATATTCATTAAACTAGCTCCTGTGATGTGGAAAGGAATCCCAGAAGCAATGGAGGACATGTGAGGGCATTTACTTGCCATGGTTGTGGTTGTGGTGTGTTCGTACTTAAATATAGGTAGTGACACACTGAAATTTTTGTTTCCCAATAATCTGGAGTACTGTCCTGCATTTATCTGTGCTAAAATAACTATAAAGTAATGGAATCTACAAAGAAGAAACTTTATGATTGCACTGTATTTGGAAGCCTTTGTACAGCTTAGGTAAAATTTCCATGACACAAAGTATTTGGACTTTAAAGTTTACTATTATAAGGAAGAACACATGGCATTATTCCATGTGCTAAAATAATAGCTTGTTTATTGAATTTCAGAAGAAAAAAATATGAAATGAGTAATTATCACTGCATTAGCTGTAATGTTAAATTGGCAAGTTGTAGCATAAAACTTAAATCTGTGTTTCTCAAATGTGAACCACAGTAGTCTAATGATGCTTTGTATATACTGTAAGGGCTACAAATAGTCTCAGCACTGAACATGTATTGATACCACTCAAATGAACGCAACCTTTGATATAGGTATTTTGATATGCCTCAGAAAGTATTGAGTGTCTGCAAATTTGTTAATCTGTTTGATAATGAAGATACTTCCTGTTCTTTTGTTGTTGTTTCCTGTTTAATTTTGAATTTTTACATTTTTACTACTGTTAATTTAAATACAATTTGTTCAATGATTAAAATGGGGCTGTCAGTGAAGAAACATAAAAACAGCCTCATTCACATAACTGCTTAAGTAAAAACTACATTTTGTGTTCTATGTTCATATACTTTATTTTTTTGACAGACGGAGTGGACAGTGAGAGAGAGAGACAGAGAGAAAGGTCTTCCTTTTGCCGTTGGTTCACCCTCCAAAACTGCGGCCGGCGCACTGCGGCCGGAACACCGTGCCGATCTGAAGCCAGGAGCCAGGTGCTTCTCCTGGTCTCCCATGGGGTGCAGGGCCCAAGGACTTGGGCCATCCTCCACTGCCTTCCCGGGCCACAGCAGAGAGCTGGACTGGAAGAGGGGCAACTGGGATAGAATCCGGCGCCCCGACCTGGACTAGAACCTGGGGTGCCGTCACCGCAAGGCAGAGGATTAGCCTAGTGAGCCGCGGCACCGGCCCCTATGTTCATATACTTTTAATGATCTGTATTTCTGTTTAAATATAAGTGATGATGTTTAGGCTTTGTTTCTGCATAATGAGCCTTTTTACCATTGATTAAATGAAGGAATATATCTTTTTGAAGAGATTTATATTCTGTAAATAAAAATTGGTGGAAACAATAAAAAAGTTAATAAAAATAGTTCCAGAAACAATGAATAAAACCATCAGTATTGCAAAAAAAAAGAAAGAAAAAAGAAAGAAATGGCTTCTTAAACGTTTACTTTCAAATTACAAAACATTAAACAAGGAATCAAGAATTTGCAGGTAAATAAGCATATTTTAGTCTTATATTCATTGGGAAATGTATTCTAATATGATTAGAGAATTGCAAATCATTGTTCAATTTTTCCCTCTACAAGAACCAAATGTCTCAGGGCCTGCGCTCCAGCATAGCCAGTAAAGCTGCCACTTGCAGTGTCGGCATCCCATATGAGCACCGGTTCAAGTCCCGGTTGCTCCACTTCCCATCCAGCTCTCTGCTATGGCCTGGAAAAGCAGTGGAAGATGGCCCAAGTCCTTGGGCCCCTGCACCCTCAGGGAAGATCCAGAAGAAGCTCCTGGCTCCTGGCTTCAGATCAGCGCAGCTCCGGCCATTATGGCCAACTGAGGAGTGAACCAGCGGATGGAAGACTCCTTCTCTCTGCCTCTCCATCTCTCTCTGTGTAACTCTGACTTTCTAGTAAAATAAATAATCTTTTAAAAAAAGAAACAAATGTCTCTTCACAAATAATAAAAAGGGCAAAGTGATTAATGAATTATAAATATTATATGACAGTATTAAAACTGTAATACAACATTCATGATCAGGTTTTAGTTTCCATTATTAATACTAGATGTTTAACAAAGAGCTATAAATTGAAAAAGGACTATATTAACCAAAGATATTATTTTGCATGCATCCTTTTTGTAGTATTTGTTAGTGTTTCATAAATCAAATCTGTTCATCCTAGAGCCAACTGATAATGCATCCCCACTAACCAAAAAAAACAGATGGTTTAGTCCCCAAAACTTTGTAAAAAAAATCACTAAGAGAAAAATCAGTCTATTTGTATTATATCATACCTTTTATATTCAATCATATTACTACACAGTTTTCTGTACCCATTGAACCTAAGTATAAAAATGGAAAGTTCACCCTGTGCCTTTAGCTCTTCAATCGGCAGGTTCACATGTCAGATAAAACTATGATCAAATAAATGTGTTATGCTTTTCTCTTGTTAACCTGTTCTCTTATATAGGCACATGGACCATGACCTGTTATGATGGGCAAGAAAGAGATCACCTCCTTTTCTGTCTCTGTGGTATCCCAGCCATTGAGTGTTAAACCTCAATGGGACAAAAGACAGCGACTAAAGCAAAGGAAGAAAACTAGTTTTTCAACTGTCATAGTCACTCCCTATAGCCTAAGCAGAAACTGCTCATGAATCTTGACCACTTCAGAATTTTCTAAGGACAGCATTGCTCTAGGGCTGGGGATGCCCTTTAAGTGGGAAGCTGGAAGACACAAATGTGATCTTACTCCATTGTGATGTTTTTCTCAATTTTTAAAATAGAAATAAAACAAATGGAAGAGAATGTACTTACTGTCTCTTAATGGGGCAAAGCATCTTAACTTAGTTGTCTTGGATGATGAGAAGCAGCACTTATATCTCAAACATTCACTCTCTCCAAGATCTTTCTTCCCATTACAAGGCTTTACCACTTGCTTCTCCTTCACAGTGCATGCTTTTAAAAACAGAAATTCAGGAAAGAGAATTAACACATCTAAGAAATACTTTCCCTATTAAACAATTACTGCAAAGCAAAACTTTAGAAAAGAACATTTAAGCTGGTACATTAAAAGAAAAAAATAAGTCATACATCGACATAGTGCTGAATGAAGAAAAATAAGGGTTAAATTAACAACACATCATTATTTAATATCACCTTTTCAATTTTAGGTGAACTGCAAAAATATGTCATTAATAGATAACTGGTGAGGTAGTTTTAAAAATCATGAAGTAGTAGTGATACAAATATAACACAGGAGGAATTAAACAACAGACCTAATTCCCTTAAAACTCACACCTTGTTAAAATGATGCCACAGATATCCTCTCACTTAATTTTACTAAGATACAGAAATGGGGGCCAGAGCTGTGGCATAAAAGGGTAAGCCCCCACCTACAGTGTCACAGTCCCATATGGGCACCATTTCAAGTCCCAGCTGCTCCACTTCTGATCTAGCTCCCTGCTAATGTGACTGGGAAAGCAGCAGAAGATGACCCAAGTGCTTGAACCCCTGCACCCATGTTGGAGACCTGGAGAAAGCTCCTGGCTCCTGCCTTTGGCCTGGCTCAGCCCCCACTGCTGCAGCCATTTGGGGAATGAATCAGTAGATGGAAGATTCTCTCTCTCTCTCTCTCATTCTCTCTCTATCTCTCTGCTTTTCAAATAAATAAATAAATAAATAAATAAGAGAAATTCATTGATGAGAATGAATGCAAATAAAATTCACATAGTTTACTGCTAGAGAGTAAAGTAAGTGATACTATTGGTATTAACCCACTTTTTGTGAACACTTAACATATGGCACCACGACATTTTAAAATTCTTTAAAATTCTTTTAAATTTTAAAATTATTCCTTTAGGCTTCAAGTTCTGACTCTAATTTGAATAGGCAATGATTTATGGAATGAACACTAAAAATTATGCAATCGCAATAAATGTGGACATATCTGAATCTAAAACACTTGTAAGCTCAAATATCTATTTTAAAAACATCCTTCTTTATATAAGAAACAGGAGACAACCCCCACAATATGTCTTAAGGCCATAAAAGAGTCAGTCCAATTTCCTATATTGTTAACAACTAGAGACTTTTTTAAAAAGGTTTTATTTTTATTGATTTGAAAGGCAGATGTAGTGAGAGGGAGAGACAAAGAGAGAAGCAGAGAGGTTTCTATCTGCTTCCTCAGTCCCTAGATAGCTGCAATAGTCAGGACTGGGCTAGGCCAAAGCCAGGAGCCTAGAACTTCATCCAAGTTTCCCCCATTGGTGGCAGGGGCCCAAACAGTTTTCTAGGTCATTAGCAGGAGCTGGGTCAGAAATGGAGCAGCATAAACTTCAACCAGCACTCATGTGTGATACCAGTACTGCAGGCAGTGGCTTAACTCACTGTGCCACAACGCCAGCCCCTTAAGACTTTAAAACTAAAACTGATTTAAAATTTTTAACTGTCTTTAAAATATTTCTTTCTTTATTTACGAGGAAAAATGATAGAGACTGAGAGAGAGAGAGAGAGAGAGAGAATCTTCTATCCACTGGCTCACTCCTCAAATGGCTGTAACAGCTGAGAAGCCAGGAACTTCATCCAGGTCTCCCACGTGGGTGGCAGGGACTCAAATATATGAGCCACCATCTGCTACTCTCCAGGCACATTAGCAGGGAGTTGGATCAAAAGAGGAGTATCTAGGACCTAAATCAGCACTCTAATATGGGATATCGCTGTCTCAAGAGGCAGCTTAGCCTGCTGTGCCACAATGCCCATGCCCATGACTGATTATTTATAATCATTCTAAAGTACTTCAATATCAGCAAAGAACAATATAATTCTCTTAAGAAAATTCTAAATTCTTAGTATATTTATTATATTCCTTTTCATTAAAGATCGACAATTCCTGAAGTTAGGGTAAAAATAATAATCGTTACAATGCATTAGGAACCTATTTGGGCCAGACACTTTGCTTTACACACATTACTACTAATCTTTGCAACAAACTCCCAGACTGAGTTTTACAAACTCCATTTTAAAAATAAGTAATTAAAGGAATCAACGTAACTTGTGCAAGATCACAATTTAACGCATTACCAGTTGTCCTGGATATTCATTTCCCAAGCATTTTAGACATGTGAGAGTTTATCCTACTTTACTATTAAATACTGTAAACAATTTGTTCTTCATTTCTTCCTGGCCTAGAGAGACTCTCCTCCTACATAGTGGACTGTATGTGGAACACATACAATTACAGGTATCACATACCCAGAAAAGGGTGACAATAATCAGGAGCTAATCAGAGAATGGATGGATTTCCCACATGCTGAGTTTCTTACCATTGGCATTATTCAAACATCACTTTCCTGGAATGTAATAAAGAGGGTTTAAATCATAAGAGACTAGGGGTTGGCACTGTGGCACAGCGGGTTAAGCCATCTTTACAACCAACATCCCATACTGGCACCTATTCAAGTCCCAGCTGCTCCGTTTCCAATCCAGCTCCTTGCTAATATGCCTAGAGAAGCAGCAGAGGATGGCCCAAGTGCTTGGGCCCCTGTACCCATATGGGAGACCTGGATGAAGCTCCTGGCTCCTGGCTTAGGCCGGGCTATTGCGGCCATCTGGGGAGTGAACCAGCAGATGGAAGCACTTGCTTTCTCTCTCTCTCTCTCTCTCTCTCTTTCCCTCTCTCTGTGTAACTCTGATTTCCAAATAAATAAATCTTTTAAAAAATCATAAGAGACTAGATGGCATAATCTTTAAGTTCCCTTATAATGCCAAGCTTCTAATATTTTATATTTAAATTGCAGCTGATAGACTTTATGCTAAATATTAAAACTAATGTTCAGAATCACATTATTAAGAATTTTGAAATTACTTGTAATTTCAAAGAACAAAAGGGCAGAACAATTTTTATCAAGTTTAAGTATAGCTTTTTGTCCAAAGGGAGAAGGATCAACTAACTGCTCAACTGTCCCTGCTCATCTGTCTCAAGGCTATCATTTTATTCTGCAAGAGATGAATGCTTTATAAACATCAATCTAATGAAAAATCAGTAGACACTTTCGTTGGTAATGCTTAAGTGGTAAGAGTATTTGTTTTCAATTATACAGGAGAGAAAATAAATGTCAAAATATTTCACATTTTATAAACCTATAGCTATTCTTTTCAAAGAAGACAGTATGTATATTTTATAAATATTTAATTATGATTTTCAAAGATTTGAACCCAGTTAGGTCAGTTATTTCTATTAAAATGAAACAATTTGATTTTGGGGGGCAAAATTATTATTTCATACAATTGATTTTGACTTCACTTACTGTGCCAGGTTGGAGAAATATTTGAGAAATTCAGATATCTTATTTAGGTTATTTTAAAAGGTGGTTTCAGTATTTGTATAATGTAGTTATTATAGATAACTACATGACAGTTTACATCTGCTATTTTCATAAGCTTTTAAAGCATAAATCATTATTTGTTGTTGATCATGATTCAACTTTGGCATGCCCTAAACAACTGTCTTAGTATATGCAACATAACACCCTCTCAGACTTCTTTATGTTTCACTCATTTTGACCATGGCAGTATTTTTTGTTATTTTAGGAGCTCATTTAATTTGCTCCTCTCATTGGCAGTAGCTATCATAGTGTCTATTTTGTACTTAATAAGAAACATAAAGACATTTATATAAAATCATAGAATTCAGTGGTAGAGACTGGAATCAAACAATGGATAAAATTCTGTGCTTATATGCATATATCAAATTCTGTTACTATAAGTTAGTCATTATTTTAATGAAAGGTTTATTTTATAATTCACATATATCAATTTATATGAAGCTTCTCCTTGAAAGGGCATCACATGCTGTACAAAATAAAAAAAATAAAATGTGTTTATTTGTGGTTAATAATTCTCAAGGGTCATCATATGCTTGATAAACACATTATATACAGAATCACAAAACGATGATATGACTCGAAACCAGGCCTTTTTATCATTAAAACAGATGGGAGAACATCTGCTATATTCTGTAACATCAGAGCCACATAGTATCCTACCTAATGCTACAAAAGACTAGGATTTCATAACACTGGGTCAATGACTAATCTTAGGCAATGCCACTAAGATAAATTGGGAAAGGTTTAGACATTTGTAAAGGAAAAGTATTTTTTTAAAGAGTAACAGATCTTTACAGAATGCATTATAAATTTTGCAAACTCAGTTCTATCCCACTCCAATCCTCTACACTATAGTGCTTCCTAAACATTTAACTACTGTTTTCAAAACAAGGACAGTGGTTGGGTGGGGTGGGGTGGGAGCAGTGGTGATCGAACAAGAACTTACTTGTTGGAAAGAAAAATTGCGACAGAGATTCCCACATGGATTCTCCTTCCAGAGATTGTTCATCAGCATGGTCATCGTTCCGCAGGACATTTGCAGATTCAGAATTTGAGGTTCCTTAAAAAGAAGTTAAATGATCAGACCTAACATATAAAGTATCCATCACTTTCAAAAACCTTTTAATGGTAATTGCCTTCGCTTAAATTAATTAGACTGGGGGCCGGTGCCGTGGCTCACTTGGTTAATCCTCAACCTGTGGCACCCACATCCCATATGGGCGCCGGGTTCTAGTCTCAGTTGCTCCTCTTCCAGTCCAGCTCTCTGCTGTGGCCCAGGAGGGCAGTGAAGGATGGCTCAAGTGCTTGGGCCCCTGCACCCACGTGGGAGACCAGGAGGAAGCACCTGGCTCCTGGCTTCAGATCGACGCAGCGCCGGCCTTAGTGGCCATTTGGGGAGTGAACCAACGGAAGGAAGACCTTTCTCTCTGTCTCTCTCTGTCTATAACTCTATCTGTCAAATAAATAAAAAAAAATTATCTGTTACTCTAACAGGTAACAGATATTATATTTAAATAACAGCTTAGACATTATTAACAACCAGAATGTGACTCTGCTATGAAACTGAAAATATATTACATTTCTAAATGCTTAAGCTATACTCTGACACATGCCATTATTATTTTGTTAACTGGTTTATAGTATATGAACTTGCCTGACAAAAGCATTGTTTTTTAGAGGCTTAATTAACTGACAAATTGGAAATGGTATAGATCACAACTAAATCAGATACTATTACAGAACCTCTTTGGCAAATACGTTGGCTTCATTGTATACTGATCTTTATACAATGTAAAACCTTCCTTATCCTTCTTTCTCATTACTTCAAAGAATCTATTTTAGTCTTATTTGCACAATTTCCCTCCTGTATTAAAGAAAGGATAGCACAATTTGTACTATTGGATTGTTCCCAACAATCCAATAATGTCACAGTAGTCCATTATATGACTCAATTATAACTGAGTTAACCATTTCCCCTCAGGAAGACATTCAGGTTCTTTACAATTTATTGATATTATAAAGAATGTTGAAATGATTATCATTGGGTTATCATTGGTTTGAAATGATTATCACTGGAGCCATATATTTGCAGATATTCACAAAAATTCTTTAAGATGAATGTATAAGGAATGCTTATTAACCATATCCAAAAAAAAAATCCTTCAAGCAAGGTTAACACAAAGTACACTTCTGCCAGTAGTAAAGGCAAGTGCCAGTTTTCTTTCACTCTTGCCTTTATTTTCATAATTTGCCAATTTGACAACCAAGATAAAACAAAATTTCTTTTACCTTAATTTGTACCTATAGTCATTAATAAGCATTTATCGTCCATTCATTTGTTACATAGCAGAGAACTTAAACTGTTAATCTGCTACATGTTGTAAATATTTTTCAAGATAGTCAGTTACCTGTACATTTTTATTTATTAATATAAGAGGCAGAGACAGAGAGAGAGCACACTCCTCATCTACTGGTTTACTCCCCAAATACCAGCAATGGGCTAGGACTGGGTTGTAGCCGTGGTCCAGAGCCCTGAACACCATACAGGTCTTGCAAATGAGTGGAATGAATCCAATTACTTGAGCCATCATTGCTGTGTTTGGGGAGGTTCATAAGTTTTTTTTTTTTTCAATGGAATCAAATCTATCTATCTCTTAAAATTTTTGCCTTTCAGGTCATATTTAGAAAGACATTTGAACTTCAATACTTCTAAAAGTTTTGCAGCTTCCCTTTTTAAATTAAGATATTTAATTCACCTGAAATATATTTTTAGACTATGTTGTGAAGTAGGGATACATTTTTTCCAGCCCTTCTAACATCATTTATTAAATTCACCCCTTTCTTTTTTTTTTTTAAGATTTATTTATTTACTTAAAGCCGGCGCCGTGGCTCACTAAGCTAATCCTCCGCCTGCAGTGCCGGCACCCCGGGTTCTAGTTCCAGTCGGGGCGCCGGATTCTGTCCCGGTTGCCCCTCTTCCAGGCCAGCTCTCTGCTGTGGCCAGGGAGTGCAGTGGAGGACGGACCCAAGTGCTTGGGCCCTGCACCCCATGGGAGACCAAGATAAGTACCTGGCTCCTGCCATCGCATCAGTGCGGTGTGCCAGCAGCAGCGCGCCGGCCGCGGCGGCCATTGGAGGGTGAACCAATGGCAAAGGAAGACCTTTCTCTCTCTGTCTCTCTCTCTCACTGTCCACTCTGGATGTCAAAAAAAAAAAACACATAATTTTGCATTTAGAATTTTTTCACTTTATTAATATAACTAAGTGCCTTGTATTAGGGCTTGTATTGTTCCCTGCCTCTTCCAAAAATATTGGAATTTTAATCCCAGTACCTGAAACTATGACCCTATTTGGAGACAGCATCTTCATGAAGGTGATAAGGTTAAAAAAAAGTTCATCTAGAGGGGGCTATAATCCAGTATGACTGCTGTCCTTACATAAAGAGGAAATCTGAGCCGGCTCCACCACTCACTTGGCTAATCCTCCGCCTGCGGCAGCAGCACCCAGGTTCTAGTCCCAGTTGGGGCGCCAGATTCTGTCCCGGTTGCCCCTCTTCCAGTCTAGCTCTCTGCTGTGGCCCGGGAAGGCAGTGGAGGATGGCCCAAGTGCTTGGGCCCTGCACCCGCATGGGAAACCAGGAGGAAGCACCTGGCTCCTGGCTTCAGATCAGCACAGCGCGCCGGCCGTAGTGGCCATTTGAGGGGGGGTGAATCAACAGAAGGAAGACTTTTCTCTCTGTTTCTCTCTCTCTCACTGTCTAACTCTGCAGATCCAAAAAAAAAAAAAAAGGAAAGGAAGTCTGGACACAGACACAGATGCTCACAGAGGTAATATCTATAGAATAGACTCAGGGATAAGATAAACATCTATAACCCAAAGAAAGAGGCCTTCTCTCAACAACTCTTAGTAGGAACCAACTCTGTTAACACATTGATTTTGACTTTTAACCACCAGACAATAAAATTCTGTTTTAAACAATCCAGTTTATGACATTTGTTATAACATCAAACTAATATCCACCAGTAGGTAAAATAATTTGGCCATGACCTTGGAGAATTAACAGTGAAAGTATGTAGTTCTGGAACTAAAAATCTCTTCTTGTTCATAGACAGAGACTTCTGTGTTCTCTTAGATGTAATGCCACCAAGAGGTTGAGTGATTTGAGGTAATTCTGGGATGCCTCCAGTTTGAATTGTCATTAGGATTCCCAGACCACATGGCTTTTCAGGCTATATTTATGCATGTAGACATGTAGACTAGTATCTCTCTCTCTCTCTCCCTCTCTCTCTCTCTCTCTCTGTCTTTAGAGATGCACATAGACTAGTAGCATATAGGATGAGGAGACAAGGAGTTTGGGAACTTGGAGTTCATTCTCAGCTACTTCACCAATTATCTGTAGTTTGTTGAGTCGATCCTTATTTTTCATCATTTTCAAGGCAGACAAAAATAAGAAATAAAAATAGGCTAATAGCAATAGAATGCAACAACACATCAGAAAGATCATCCACCCAGACCAAGTGGGATTTATCCCTGGTATGCAGGGATGGTTTAATGTGCGCAAGACAATCAATGTGATACACCACATTAGCAGACTGCAGAAGAAAAACCATATGATTATCTCAATAGATGCCGAGAAAGCATTTGATAAAATACAACACCCGTTCATGATGAAAACTCTAAGCAAACTGTGTATGGAAGGAACATTCCTCAATACAATCAAAGCAATCTATGAAAAACCCACAGCCAACATCCTATTGAATGGGGAAAAGTTGGAAGCATTTCCACTGAGATCTGGGACCAGACAGGGATGTCCACTCTCACCACTGCTATTCAATATAGTTCTGGAGGTTCTAGCCAGAGCTATTAGGCAAGACAAAGAAATTAAAGGGATACAAATTGGGAAGGAAGAACTCAAACTATCCCTCTTTGCAGATGACATGATTCTTTATTTAGGGGACCCAAAGAACTCTACTAAGAGACTATTGGAACTCATAGAAGAGTTTGGCAAAGTAGCAGGGTATAAAATCAATGCACAAAAATCAACAGCCTTTGTATACGCAGGCAATGCCATGGCTGAGGAAGAACTTCTAAGATCAATCCCATTCACAATAGCTACAAAAACAATCAAATACCTTGGAACAAACTTAACCAAGGACGTTAAAGATCTCTACGATGAAAATTACAAAACCTTAAAGAAAGAAATAGAAGAGGATACCAAGAAATGGAAAAATCTTCCATGCTCATGGATTGGAAGAATCAATATCATCAAAATGTCCATTCTCCCAAAAGCAATTTATAGATTCAATGCAATACCAATCAAGATACCGAAGACCTTCTTCTCAGATCTGGAAAAAATGGTGCTGAAATTCATATGGAGGCACAAGAGACCTCAAATAGCTAAAGCAATCTTGTACAACAAAAGCAAAGCCAGAGGCATCACAATACCAGATTTCAAGACATACTACAGGGCAGTTGTAATCAAAACAGCATGGTACTGGTACAGAAACAGATGGATAGACCAATGGAACAGAATTGAAACACCAGAAATCAATCCAAACATCTACAGCCAACTCATATTTGATCAAGGATCTAAAACTAATTCCTGGAGCAAGGACAGTCTATTCAATAAATGGTGCTGGGAAAATTGGATTTCCATGTGCAGAATCATGAAGCAAGACCCCTACTTACACCTTACACAAAAATCCACTCAACATGGATTAAAGACCTAAATCTACGACCTGACACCATCAAGTTACTAGAGAACATTGGAGAAACCCTTCAAGATATTGGCACAGGCAAAGAATTCTGGAAAAGACCCGGGAGGCACAGGCAGTCAAAGCCAAAATCAACTATTGGGATTGCATCAAATTGAGAAGTTTCTGTACTGCAAAAGAAACAGTCAGGAGAGTGAAGAGACAACCGACAGAATGGGAAAAAATATTTGCAAACTATGCAACAGATAAAGGGTTAATAACCAGAATCTACAAAGAGATCAAGAAACTCCACAAAAACAAAACCAACAACCCACTTAAGAGATGGGCCAAGGACCTCAATAGACAT